AAATGGTGTTTAGTAAAGCACCTGTAACTTTTGAAGGACTCAAGCTAAAAAACTGGGGTTTGCGTAGTTTTGTAGGGATTCGTTTGGCGGTTCGAATGCGCTATTTGAAGGGAAGACAAAAGCTCTTTTAAGTAATCGCAGTGACACGATTTTTAGAGATCTTGAGAGAAAACCGTCAAGAAACGTTGCAAAAAATATCTATAATATACAGTTCGATGCGTCTAAACACCCTCTTTCCAACGGTGAAAACCGCAGCTCCCTATCATGTACCTATCAAAAGTTATTCGAAAAATGCCCACTGCTCTTCTATTTTGAAATGGATATTAGTACCAATACCAAAGAAAGGAGATCTCAGCGAATGCTCAAACTATCGAACGATCTCTCTCATTAACCACACAGGAAAAGTGCTACTGATCGTGCTATTAAACAGACTCAAACAACAACTGGATCTTCACCTCTCAGAAGAACAGGCAGGATTTAGAAAGGACAGAAGCACCATACACCAAATCCTAATACTCAGGCTACTAGCAGAAAAAACAAAAACACAAGGAAAGAAAATATACAATTGCTTCATAGACTTCCAAAAAGCATTCGATACAATCAAACATAAAATTATATGGAGTGTGCTAAAATCATATGGTATAGAAACAAAAATGGTCACGCTACTGCAGCAGATCTACGAAAAAGCACAATCATCAGTTCGAATCGGAAAAGACTGCGGCGACTAGTTCCGAACAAAGGTAGGAACTAGACAAGGAGATCCTCTATCACTACTCCTTTTCATCACGTACCTCGAACGAGTAATGGATCAGATGAAACAAAACACCTGCGGAATCAACATCAGCGGAACAATTGTAAACAACCTAAGATTCGCTGATGACATAGATCTTATAGATGAAGATTGTAGCTCACTTCAAAATCAAATCAATCTAATCACACAAGCCGCCGAACAAGCAGGACTCATCGTGAATACAAGTAAAACCAAAACAATGATATTTGGAGATCGAAATATTGAGCATGGAGTGCAGATAGCAGGAAACGCCATTGAAAATGTTGAAAAGTTTGAATACTTAGGAAGCCTACTGACATGGGACAACAATTGTTCCGATGAAATTAAAAGAAGAATAGGTAAAGCAATAGGTGCAATGACTTCTCTAAAACACATATGGAACAGCAAGAAATTAAAAGTAGACAGTAAACTCAAAGTTCTGACAACATGTGTCTTCAGTGTGCTATTATACGCCTCAGAAACATGGACTCTGAAAGAAGTCGACAAAAAGAAACTACTTGCATTCGAAATGAAATGCTACCGACGGATACTAAGAATCTATTGGAAAGACATGATATCTAATAATGCTATAATAAAAAAGATATCAAAAGAAGAAACCATAATAGACATCAGCAAAAAAAGGAAACTAAGATTTTTCGGTCATATCTGTAGAATGGACGATAATAGACTAATCAAACACATTGTTTTCGGAAAAATGAATGGAAAATCTCGAAAAGGTCGTCCATCCAGAGAGTGGATGGACGACATCACAGGATGGTGTGGACGAAGTAGACACGAACTGTTCCATCTGGCACAAGACCGATGGATATGGAAGAAACTAGTCCGAACAGTGGTTGGCCTCTACGGGCGATAAGCCTATGGGACATCAAGAATCAAGAAATAGGATTATCAATAGATGAAATTGAACGACATATTACATATGTTAAAAGTGATTTAAATTTTGCAGCGAAATTAGGTAAATTTAGTAAAATATAAATGATATTTAACTTATGATTATTTTCTAGTTTATGATCGAAAACTTAATGATCCATTGTATATGGTTTGTATTGGGGCAATTCTTTTGTTTTTACTAAATTTAACTATTTTACTTTTCTGATATTTTATTAGCTCGATGGTGAAACAGAATCTGTTGTATACAATTTTTCTGGTGAATCTATCAATTCATATAGTAATTTATTCATTATATTTATTCGAAACGATAATATTTCAATTTAGATCAAATTGTCAATACTTCACTTCTTAGTAAATTGAAGGATGTTCGATCTACAATGATCATGATTGAAGAACTTTTCAAACTTCAATCTAAAGTTATATTATTTTTTTGGAATTTTATTAAATATTTATTCTTTTATACTTTATTTGTACATAGAATGATTCATTTATATTGAATAAAGATTTAGCTGATGTACTTCATATTGATTTTGATATTTTTAATAGTCTTGAAAATTATCTATGCAAACAAGGTTTTAATTCATTGGGTAATGCCAAAATAGTTTATTGTTAATGTATAAAATTTTCGTTTTATCAGCATTGAATGTACGCAATGATATTGTTTACTTGATTGGTACAGGAGTTATTCTTATTTGGCTTGTTCTTCAAACAAAATCAACACAACAAAATACATTTCAATTTTTATTTGATATTAAACAAGTTCAAGTAAATGCTGTTTGTTTTTTTTTTCGTTTTCTAAATTAGTTGTTTTCTACATTGAAGATTTATCTATGCAATTATTTACCGACTAATATGAATAATCAAATAAACAAAGCGATTGAATTCTATCAACGAACAAATCAACGTATTGGTATATATTGCAAATAATTAGAATTAAAAGATTCATCATGGAACATGTTTATTCAACGTCTACTTATTGATATCGATCCAACTAATAACGAAAACTAATGTCGATCTTTTTTAAAAATGTCATTCATCATTTTGTGAATAACTCTTCAGCATTGATAATTATCGACTTCGGATTTTAATCATTCGATAGAGCGACGTGGGAGGCATCTACCTATATGTAATTCATTAAGATCTAAGAAGTTTTTTATGATAAAAAACTCATTAGTTTCTAAAGAAACCTAGGCTAAAATTACATCAAAATATAGCTAAGAGAGTCCTGAATTTTAGTCGAAATCTTAAAACTTTAATGAATTCTCATACTCAAGACAATGATAGAAAGAACTGAAAATTTTATCACAGATACAGCAGTGTTCAGACTAGATTTTGCTGTACTTTAAACCTATGTCTCTATGAAAATTTGTAACGAAAAATATATCAATTAAATATTTACCATAAAAAAACTTCTTTGATCTTAATGAATCTCATATAGATAGATGCACCCCGCGCCGCTCTATCGAATGCCTAAAACCTGAAGTCGATAGCTATCAATATTGAAGAGTTATTTAAAAAATAATGGATGGTATTTTTTAAAAAATCCGACATTAATTCATTTAACTATGTCTTGTGGATTCTTTCCTATATAGCTTCTTCTTTTTTATAACTTTATTATTCTAATCATGAAAGACTTCAACCAAAAACAAAAAAAAATAAAAGTTTCTTGTAGTTGAAAAGAATCCTATACGCATTAATTTATATCCTACAGTTGCACTCGAATGGGTTTCTTGTATGTTGATAAAGTATAAATCGATCATTTTTTTACTCTATACCTATTGATACTGTCATAAATATTCATCATATATTGATCGTATTCAGATAAAATATAAATCGAACTATAGTTTTTATCTGGGATGTGGGTGTGGGTGTGCGTGTAGCTGTGCTTGGAGGTTCGGGGTGTGAGTGTGGATGTAGGTGGCTTTGGGCGTGGATGTAAGGTGTTGGGGTAGATCTCATCACACCCACACCCTTTTATCTTGACTATTATTATCTCCTGACTTATATTCGATTAAAAACTTGTAGGGAATGGTATCAAGAAAAACTCATAAGAAGAAAAGCTATTCAGAACAAAAAAATATTTGAAAACTGCTATAATAAAATATGAGATAAACTAAGCATTGATCAGCTTCGAAGTTTAGTCGTCTAATACCAAAGAGAATATTTGACGTTAATAAATTAAATGAGATAAAGACAAAATACTGATTGTTATTTTGCTTTTCTTTTTTACATTTATTTTGATGTAATCTTATACTTTTGCATTGCTAAAATTTATGAAAATTTCAGAGTAAATGAGAAGGAAGGCATAAGTTTCTGAAATTTAATCAACTATATACTTATGCATTAATTCCTTTTAATTTAAAGAATTAGTTTTATCTGATTCACCTAAGTCCTAAAACTGGTGGTCTCACAATTATGCACCGCACTGCATATTTCATTTCGTATCGGATCTAGACATAAGCTGCCATGTTGAAGCTATTCGACAGAACTATTGGTATAGGTCTAATAGAAACATCTTTTTAACTCCTTCAAATTCATCTCTGTCTCGAATGTCTATGTTACTTTAACCGTCGTTTTTTGTTCTCATTGCTTGAGTCTGCAAATACTTAGGTCAAATGAATAGCTAAGTGGAAAATATAGAGTCTAGAACATATTACATCATCTATTCTATAGTATAGATTGGGAATAAACCGATAAATAGCTATTGACTTCAACAAAACTAATAACTATTTCTACAGTACTTCGAGAAACTGACAATTTCGACTTTTTCGCTTTTAGAACAGTTTGTTCTTGTGTGCTAATTGAGTCTCAGCGGCAACATGAAAAACACCCTTTTTAATAAGAACCCATGTCCAAACTTAGAACTGTTACAACAGAATAAAAGTCTAGTGAGTTTTCATTCTATTGAGACGGGTGGAAAATAGTGGCAAATCCAAGATTTTTGGTATATTGTATCTCATCTTTAGAGCATGGCAGCCAGATGAAACTTATAGAGGTATGATGTTAGACTCATGTGATGGACTTTTATCGAAACAGTTTTGCAGCAGAAGTTTGCGGACACAACATAGCGTTTCCTGTACTCACTTAAGATTTTTCTTTTTACTATTTGTAGTATTCTGTTCTTTTTCGAATTTAGTAGTAACTTACATCAAAATTCATCGCAAATTTCATCTAAAAATATGAATATGTTCAAGAATTGAAACATACTGAATGTTTGCTAAAATTTTCGCAATATGCAACGAAAATTCAGAACGTTAGAAGTCTTCAACGTATGCATATTTTTAGGTGAAATTTGAAATCTTTCGATGAACTTAAGGTAGCTTACTACTGAATTCTAAAAAAATAGAATACTGCAAACAGCAAAAGAAACATATCGCGGAGACTCCGGAAAGTGCTAATTTTTTTCGCAAACACTTGTCGCAAAATTTTTTCGATGAAAAACCCAACATATGAGTTCAATATCATACATCTATGGGCTTCATCTGAATTCCATGCTCTAAACACTAAATCAAGTATAGGAAAATATCCTGAATCTGTCACTACTAGTAAAGAGAGCTAAGAGAACATCAGGACTTAGGCATGTCTCTATATAATAGAAAATGACGATTAAAGCGTACCTCGATATAGTGGAAGATGGGGAGTCGTGGTTATCTCCAAGCACATGAGGGCTTAAGAGTACCTTCATACAATAGGACATAGGATTCAACGGTACCTCCATATAATGGAAGAGAAGGGATTGAGGGTACCTCGAGCAGTAGCACATAAGGACTTAAGTGTACCTTCATATAATGGGAAATGACTACCAAAGGGTATCTCCAGATAATGAGAGATGACAACCGAAGGATGCTTCCAAATAATAGGACAAGAGGACTTCAGGGTACTTTCATGCAATAGAATATGGAACTTAAGGATAACTCCAAATAATATGACATGAAGACCTAAAGGCACCTTGATATAATAGCAAATGAGGATTCGAGGGCACCTTCATAAGTAAAGTATGACTCAGTCAGGCATATACTTAGTGGTAATAGTTCCCAGGACACACTTACTCACCTAGCTGGTAGTTGTGCATACCTTATTCCTACGGTACGTTCTCGATTTCCACTGTATTCCCGGAATTTTCATCGTATTCCTGGGATTTCCTTTGTATTCCTGGGATTTCCATTGTAGTCCCGGGATTCCCACTGTATTCCCGCAATTCCCATGGTATTCCCAGGATTTTCATTGGATTTTTAGGGACTCGGAATCCCAAAAATCTGCCGTTTCCCCCTTGATTTAATCAAAACAATATTATACATATATACTGAAATCTTTAATCTTCCATTGTTTTTTGAAATCGTCGAACTCTAAGGACTTATCGCAGAGTTTAGTTAGCGTGTTACAGTCAATCAAATAATCCAAACCCAATGAGTTGCAGTTTGGGTTATTGTTTAGTTTCCTTTCAATCTCTTATTAAACCAAACGATTCATTGGATCATTCTCCATTTAATTATCAAAGACAGACATCCTTCTATACAGATGTACAAAATCTACCGCTAAAATGAAAATTTTCCCTACCGTCAAAGCAAATCATGTTTTTTTGTAAATATATATTTTTTTTAAAAAATCAAGAGAGAAACAAGACTACTACGCACTCAAAATAATGTCATGTAAAAAATATTTAGTTTCATCAAATAATACTGATAATCTTGATACTTGGTCATTTCAGGAACGATTTATCACAATTGAACCAAAGCTTAAAAGTTTTCATGTTAAATATTATTGACGTAGCAATATTTGCTTCAAATCGTGGTGAAATTATTAAAGATTAGTAGAATAACGAAGTTTTCCAACTTTTTACCATGCCTTCGACGGTTTCGTTGCGGCTTGTAGCAAACAGTTTGTTATGTGTATTAGGAAATAACAAAGCAAAGTAAAACAAAAAGCAGTTCGATTGTTCTCTATTGAGAAATCAATTGTGCTATTTATGCATGAACTTCATATCCTGATTGCTACGCAAAAACTTTACTAGTTAATTTCCTATATTAAAAATTTTTCATATAGACAATAATTCTTCCTACGCGCGTAGATGTATACAACTAGATTCTGAAAATCAGGTCGTACCATCGTTCTTTTCGTTCTGTAGATATCAGTTACAGGGTTACTAAACCTTCTGATTTATTCAGAAGATGTTTTCCAAGATTTTCTACTGTTTTGGTATTGTTGAAAAACGATTTAACATCAGTGTGATATTAGTTTTCACAAAGAATAGAAGAAACATCCGTTAATCAGATGCGAACAGATGTAGACTTATTTTCTTAACGATGAAAATATACTTTATTTACGAAAAATCAGTTCAATTTACTTTTTCTATACTAGCCTCAAATGCCTTTTGTGAATCTATTTTTAATCACATAGAATTTTTGTGAAATAATAGTCGAAACGAAATGAAAAATGATCTTGTATGCACTGAATTAAAAATTAGCACGAGCACTGACTTCAATTGCACAGAATAATACTCTCATTTACGATTAATAATATAAAATACGTGTAATCATATTTCGTTTTTTTTTGATAGCGCTTGTCAGCAAAATTTTATTATAATTCCTTTATTGGAAGCAAGTAACAAACACTTCTGCGAACAAAAATACCAATTTTCCTCTATACAACGTCACTAAATGCTTTCTGGGTCTTTTGACGAAGATCTCCTGGTTTCGAAAATATCGATTTGGTAACTCTGTTCTCAAGGGGTTAAGCACAAGAAAACGTAATTGACCATGCACGAGTTCAGTTTTAAACTCGAGAAAAGGTTTTTAGACCATCATACTAGCGGTATGATCGGCATTGTGACAACGAGGGGGTCTCATCCACTCGTCCGCATTCTTTACGTCACTTCATCGCACTTTAATGAAAAGGAATAATCCCATCACTATATATATGTATACTACAAGGACGTGATAGCTTGGTCAATAATTCAAAAATTTCTTTAATAATTACCTCATATTTATAACCATAAACATTTAATGATCGAATAAAACGATGATAATCATCATTTTCATTTGTAGCAATAGCAACAACAAGTAAATCATCTGAATAATAATAATAATAATAAACATCACATATAATTTCAAAGAATATTTTCAAGTACCTTTACTTATTGCTTGAATAGGATAACCAAAACCAATTATGAAAAAAATTATTAATGATCTCAATATTTTCCTGAATGTCATGACAAAAATGACCGGTAATAATGGAACGATGTCGAGTACTTAGACGATGATTTATTATCTATTTATAGAATCGATTCTTCTAGCGCTACAATAAATTTTTTTCTTATCTTATTTTTATTTATTCTTTTACTAATAAAAAAAATTTTTTTAATTATATTTCTATAAAATATTTCAATAATAAAAATTTCAAAATTCAATATGCATAAATGCATTAGTAAACTGCTATATAATCACTAAAGAGAACAGTTCATTTTATATTCGTTGTTATTCATTGACGAACATAAAAATAAATCAATAAATAAAAATCATTTTTTTCCAATATGTCTTTATTACATAATGTCAAAAAAAAATTGTTGAAATATTTATTCGTTTTGTTTTAGATCGACACTATATTTTAGTCGTCGTTTCTTCTAACATCATTATAAAAGAAAAATGTCAAACATAAATGGTAATATACAACAAGATACATCATCATCAAATCTTCAAGGTTCACATGAAAATGAAAATGAAAAACCATATATACTGATCAAGGAATAAAAGAAAAAATTGTACAAAAAATTCGTTCATTGATTGATATAGTTAATTAAATTCAAGTGATATTGATAATCGTGTATGTGAACAATTACGTTCGTTTTCTGATGATATAACAAGTATTGATTCATTATTTAATGAATTTAATGATTCCGATTTAACCGGTGTAGTTAATAAAGGTGCATTTCTATGTAATTTTATAAAACAATGGAAATTACGTAATCCACAACAACTAAAATCTTCATCTAATGATTCACAATCATCACAAGGTTTTGGTGAAAATGCTCGTACACATAAACCTGATCCTGATGAAGCAAAATTAAAAGTAAAACAAAACAAAGAAAAACAAAATCGTAATTAATTTTTTTTTATTTTTAGCAAATTATTGAACGAACTGGATATAAAGCTGAAGTCACAGCTGGTCAATGTAAATATGGTGAACCACCACTTGATGGACCCGATCGACCAACTAATCGTAGTGAAGTATGTAGATTTTTTGAGAAAAAACCAAAATTTTTTTCTCTATCAATATTTATTTTTCAAAATAAGGTTTTTATTGGTAAACTTCCACGTGAAATATTTGAAGATGAATTAATTCCATTATGTGAAAAAGCTGGAAAAATTTGGGATTTATGTTTAATGATTGATCCAGCATCAGGCTTTAACAAAGGTTATTATTTTGTCACATATTGTTATCCAGGAGATTCAACAAAAGCATGTGAATAAGTAAGAATATATATATATATATATTTCGTTGTAATATTTATTTTTGTGGAACTCACATTTTGTTCTTCGACAAAAAAAATAGTGAGCCCGTCGGGTTCGTACCGGATCCGAGAGGTTCTAATAATGAGTATGTTTTCTGTAGCAATGGGAGACAACAGGCGCCAGACTCCTTTTCGCCGAGTTCCTTAGCAACAGCAAAAGGCGTTGAATAGCATTATTTCGAAATTTGAATAGCCGAAATACACTTGTGAATGTTTTAAATAATGCGATTTTTTTAATTTTTACACAGATAATCAATATCATTGTTTGTAAGCTTATCAAGATATTTAATAAAAGTGCATCGAGACTTACTATAGATCTAATGAATAATTATGTAGTGTATTAAAAAAGTGGAATACGAAAAAGAAAAAAAAATTCTGTTCGAAATGCCGATATAAATAAAAACAGATCATATCTCTTCTGATTGACCGCCCTTAGAAAACAACTATAGTCTGCTAGAGATTTTTCACTTGACATATTTTGTGTTAGTATAATGAAGCACAAAAGCACATGTGAATTCCACATTTTTTTTATCCCGATGAGGTTGTATTGACAAAATTTTTTCGAAAAACTGATTTTTTTTCTAGCTTAATAGTTATGAAATAAGTCCAGGAAAACCAATAAAAGCAAATGGTAGTATTGCTAACATTCGATTATTTATTGGTAATATACCAAAACCAAAATCAAGAGACGAAATTAAAGAAGAATTATCTAAAGCAGTTCAAGGTGTTACAGAAGTTATTATTTATACACCAGCTGATGAGGCTGATAAGAAAAAAACTCGTGGACTTTTTTTTTGTTGATTTTGATATACATAAAAATGCTTCAGCTGCTAAACGAAAATTAGCCAATGGTCGTGTTCGAGTAAGGCGAATACTTGTTTTGTTTTTTTTGATCTATTAAAAATTAAAAAAATTTTTAAAGGTATTTAACGTGATATTGCTGTTGATTGGGCAGATCCAGATGAAGAACCTGATGAAGATAGAATGTCGTAAGTGGAAGTTTTGCTTTCTTATCTTGCTGATGTATCAAATACTATTGTATCAGTGTTTTTTTTTATTCATTGTTTATGTCAGATTTTTTAACTTTGTTTTGTTTGCTTATTGTTTTACACTTCTTATGTGAATGGTGCATTTTTTATATGTATAATATATGTATGAATTTGTCGCGTGACGAACGATTGTCTAAACCCGATGGCTTTGAAAAATCTTCGAAACCCAAAGGAAATAGTATTGTTATCCATTCTGCCATTGAAAATTTAATATTATATTTACCAAAAACAATATCAATGTGAAATTAACCATAAGAAAACAGAACGTACAAATAAATTTCGTTTTTTGCTTATTACTCTTATTAAAACTTATGAATTAAAAAATATTTTTGATTTTATACAAAAATATATTGCTCTATAGTTGTTTTTTCATCATCTATGAATCTATTTTTTTTGTTTATCAGATTATGCCACATCCTCAAAAGCTCAAACAAGTAAATTTTCTGAATGAATCATTATTTGATTCTGAAAATAGTGAGTTTTCGGTTCTTATAGTCAATCACAAGAATTCTTCAATACACTGCTCTAGTTTTATGCTCATTTGTTCTGTAGCTCAATCAAATCAATTGTTCAATGTTCAATCAACCTACTACAATGTTCGGTCAAGCAATGCAATTCTACAGTTTGAATCTACTCCAATCGACATTAGTTCAAAATTAACTGAAGGTACATCAGCAGCAGCAGCAGCAGCACAAAAAGATGAAGAAGAAGAAGCTAATGAAGAAGATTTGGTAAGGATACTACTAGACAGTAATCAGTACATGTTTGAAGTTGAGACTGTCACTTTGTGAGCAACCATGATATTTCTCCTTTTCTTTTTCCTTTCACTAGAATAATCAATCATAAACTTGATAGTTTGGCATCAAAAATTATTTTTTTTTCCTTTTCGTCTATATAATTAATTGCCGTGCAAGTTCATCTATGTGAATAGATGGAGTCACCGTCTGATTCGTTCATTGAAACAATTGAACAAAGAGGGAGAGAATGAGTGAAAGATGTTCGTTAGGTTATAAAAAGAGAGGTGTGAACGATTGAAAGCATTATTAAATGAAAAAACGATCTCTTGATAATGAATGAATTGCTTTCATCGATGAATGAAAACGAATGGATAACAATTTATGACGAAGAAAAGGTAATTTCGACTTTGTAGTCCTTGTTTTCATACAATGTCTTAGTCTCTTCCAGAAAAAATTCATAGAATAGATGAGCACGATACGCTATATTGAGTCAAGGTTCGAATTTCTATAAGAACCTTTTTGAACATAAAAGAGTCTTGCACTGTTCATGTTGACTAGAACAACGCATTAGTGTACTATCTTATCCATTGGGATCGAAATGGCTCCCTCTGGGTAATAAAAGATGATATTCGATTATGTGCAGTTTTCTTTTCTTGTCTTGTCATTTTGAATAAAACTATTTACTTCCTTTTTCTCTCGATCAGAACATCATGATGGATCAAAGATTGGCTGCACTAGAAAAGAATTATAAACAAGTGAATCGTTCTATTAAAACGATCAATACTCGTCTTGATGCTGTTGAAATATTTGCTGATACTCGTTTCAATACGATTGATACTCGTATTAAAGCGAATGAAATGCATCTGAATAAAACTACAAAATTTTTCCAAAAGCGATTAGATAACTTAGATGTTCGATTGAATCAACTGTGTGATAACGTTGATGCCATTCTCATGATGTTAAAACAAGCTGAAGTTAAAAATAAAGTAAATATTTCTTTATTCGAGTGAATACCAGGATATTTAATCTTTCTTTATTTCTAGAATATCAAATCAATGTGATGGTTATTATCATGACGAAGTTAATTTATGCCTTTATCTGTATTTATTTGATCTAAAACGAATGAATCTGTGCAATTTCTTATTATTTTTCTTTTTTTTTCTACTATTTATGATAAATGTTCTCGTATATAGTTAAATGACGCAGGCTATGACAAATAAAAAAAAATGAAGTATTATGTTAAATACATGGAGATTTTTGTAGGAGTTTGATCGACTATTTTCTATGAGCAAGTAAAAGAATGATACAATCATTTGTCTGTAAGATTCAATTTTAAAATTCAGTTGAAGTATGTAGACAGAACTAGTTGATCCCTCTCAGGTTCACTTATTCTTCATAACTGTCATGAATTGATCATCGAATGTAAATATTACTGTCGTATTCATCACTTGATTCACAAAGTGATTTTGTTCTTCGTTTTGAGTATTGTTTTCTCTAAGGAATTGTTTTCTTACGATGTGCAGTTAGTTGAAAGCAAAATCTATACGTGAAAGTATTCTTATTTGTTGCATATTGATCGATGATTTCTCTTTGACATCAGATCTTGTAATATAATTCAATAAACAAATAGAAATCTTCATCGAACAAGTCAAAGATGATATTTGAATCCGTATTGACTATGTCAAAAAAAATGGTGATCTTTCATCCATTTAGTATTATATGGAAATCAAATAAAACTGAATTAAATTGAAACTAAGTCATATTTAAAAAGGTTTATCTTCCAGTTAAATGTGAATCTTTGAAATTATTATCACAAAACTGAAGTACAATTGTTCGAAACATTCTGGATCAACCTCAAATTAATAATGCATAAATTTTATCATATAAATTTGATGAAGATTTTTTTCTTTCAAGTATGCATGATTCTTTCTTATGTATGATTAGATTTTCTCCTTTTTTTAATATTTTCGAGACGACATTGATGATTTAAGTTTGTTTCATTTAGTTTGATTCAAATGAATGAAACCAATCGTCTAATAAACATTGATGGTGAAGTTCAATGAAGTTAAAATGATCAATTCTCATATTCAGTGCAGTTAAACTGTACCATGAACATGTTAGTTTCCTTTTAAATATTCATTAGTTTAGTACGCTCGACAAATTATCCGATTGATCATTTATATTGTCATTATTTTTTGATAATAAAATATTGAAAATCTTCGAGATCATCGAGAATGTTTATCTATTGAAGATTGATCTAATCTATAACAAAATGAATATATACTAGTACTCAGATCATTAGTAGTATTGAAAGAAAATATATTTTATAATAACAATCACAAAGAAATACTTTTTTTGTTATTTCGATGAATTTTTTAGAAGATAAATCTATGAAGAGAAAAGCTGATGTTACTATTATTCTTCGCAGAAAAAAGTTCTCTTTGACTGTTAATGGTTTCTATCATTAGTTCTATAATCAAATTCATTTGTCATTTATTCGTCTGTTTCTTGTTCATCTATTCTGAGATCGCTGTAATCTGTCCAATGAAAGAATCAGATGCAATTCGTTTTTTTAAAGAATTGACAAAAATCTTTGCTATTCGCAAAATATATTTATCATTTGTCAAAAAAATTCTATGGTTTTTTATTATTATTCTCGAGCACATGCAGTGGTAAAAAGCATCGGTAATGTTTATATAGTACACGTTAATCTCTTAGCAAATTCATGTAACATAGGTGACATATTTTTGTCAACTGATTTAATAAACAATGCGATATTTATTTTCTGAATTGTATTACGAAAATAAATATACAAAAAAAAACTGAAGAACTGTTTTTCTTTTTTTAAAGAAATCTGATGTTTTTGTTGCTGTTTAATTGTTAAACTTATTTCTAGAATTAACCTAATGAAATAAAAACTAAAATATGGTTTTTTCTACTTGAAGTTCTAATTGTTGAATTCTTTAATCTCTATCACGTAATTTTGCTCGTAATTGTTCAATAATCATTTTTGTACTATTATGTTGTTTTTTCATTCTTTGTTGAGTTACTTTTGCAAACATTGATAACAATTGTTCAACACTCAGTCGTTTTTCACTTTCAATTGATATTAATTGTTCAATAATAGTTGTTTCAAATGAATAATATTCAGAAAATTGTTCATCAACTTTCGAATTTATACGTAAATTACTTAAACAACAATATCGTTCCATTTCAGTTGGAAATATATTAAATAATTCTAAAAGAACAATTCCTAACCTATATGAATCAGATTTTGGTGTTGCAATACAATGATTTGAATTAAGTTGTTCCAGTAGTGCATATAAAGCTGTCCCAACACCTGTTGATTCATCATTTGGAAATCATTCAGGAAAGTCAGGAATTAATTCTGTATAAAAAAAGTAGCTAGACCGAAATCACCTAGTTTAACATGAACAGATGAACTATCTTGTTGGATCATATGCAAGAAATATATTTCTCAGCTTTATATCATGATGAACAAATGATTAAGAATGAAGATACTAGAACAAAAATTAAAATTAAAGAGAGTTTTTTTTTGTTTTAGTTTTACTTAAACAGCAGTTAAAAGTTGTTTAAAAATATGCCAACATTGACGTTGACCTAAATCATTTAATGAATAGAATAGATTTTTCTTTTCATCAAATGTTTCATCAATAATTGTTTGATCACGATAATGTAACCAATCATGTAATGTTGTATCGCATAATTGCATTTGAATAATAAGATAATATTTTAGAACTAACATTATTTGATTGAACAATTGAATGTACTATTTCATTTCGATTATGAATTGGAATTAATTCTTTATTTGATTCTCTTTTACAATAAGATGTTGAATGTTGAAGAGACATTTTTGATGAAGATAATGAATGGTTACCATCATTAGAATCATATTCATGATGAATTTATAAATCAGAATGTTTATTATTTATTCTATCTACTGATATTTAAACATAATTCAAATTAGACTTAATTAAGAAAAGAATACATAGAAGAAAAAAAGATTTTTATGTGAAATTTTATTTTCACATAGCACTATATTTTGATCGTTGGATTTTTTCATAACAATCAATCTGTATATGATTTCATTTGATTGAAGCAAAAAATCTTTTCGGGTGTAATGAAATTCAGATCTTAGAAATGTTTTTTGAAGACTTTATAAATCTATTTTTCTTCATTTTTTTCTATTAAAAAAATCTGTCATTCTGAAACGGTAACTAAACTTTACACCAGAAATGGAACCGATTGGGATTTTTGACGGCCTGTACCCATATCGATCTGAGTAGGTCACACCGAACCGACCGATCGGTCTGAAATCTGCACCGGTACCAGTTCCATATCTGCCTTGCACTTCTGGAAAAGACTTGTAGGCATCTATTCATCAAATGTTAGCCTCGATTGGACAAAGTTAATGAAGATTCAAAGCTGTTCACGTTGAGAAAACTCAGTATATTGTATAATGTTGAACTAGAGAAAAGGATTTCAAAATAAATACCATAAACAACAAGAATTTGGAATTCTAGAGATACTAGATCATGAATTAATTCATGTAGAATGATGTTTCTTATTGTATAAGACATTTCAGACTAGCATATTATACATCTACAGTGTTACTCGAAATTGGTCGTACACCCAAGAGATGACTTGGCTTCCTATATATCCTTAGAGAGGAATAGCGCATTAAGGTACGATTTTTGACAAAATGTAGCTCATACTGGATAGTCTATCTGCACCAAATATCATCTCTTTCCACTGCAACCAACCTTACTATGTTAGATAAAATATACTGAAAATGGTGTTTTTTTATTTCGTTTACAATTAATGATATACTTCATATAAGAATATACGTACATTTCACAATAAAAAAACTGAGTATCTTGTGATTTCAAGCAGAAAAAGAACTTTTTACAGTGTTGTTATGAAGTTTTTCTCGCTTTTACGATTAAAATACCTTTGAAGTGTACTCTCTTTTCGAAATCACAAGACATGCAATTTTTTATTGTGACATTTAAGTATATTTTTATATGGAGTGTGCGATTAACTTCGAGCGTTACTATAACTCATTTAATTTTTTGATTATAAGAGGAAAATAGTCTTAAACCTAATGACAGTTAAACGATTCGACTAAATACGAATTTTTATGATAGATATTTGTTTATCCATAGAAAAGAGAGAATTTTATTACCTCTTTTCCATCTTCATCATCTTCTTGTAATGTTGATATTGTTGAACTTTTCTGTGATGATTTTCCTTTTCATTTTCTGGTGATAATGCAGATTGTCCTTCAAATTGAATTAGGGATGCACCAATTCTTAGAGCTTGATATTAAAAAAGGCAATTTTTTCTGTTAAAAGTGTAAATGGAGTTCCGTTGTTTGCATCAGTCATGCTCAACTTTTATTGCTCTATCTGAAACTGTGATAGAAATTTCCGAAATAAAAAATAAAGGTCATGGAATTGGTCTTGAGTTCGTTGAAAATTCGATTTTTGAACTTTTTTTAACCAATTCCAACTGATTTTGAAGCTCATGCTTAACTTGGTATGAAATCTATTACTAGATTCAGAAAGAGCATTCAAAACTGAACACAACTAGCATAAAGAATTATCGAAATTCTCGTAATTTTTAAGATGAAATCTATTTTGATTTTCATTGAGAAATTCCAGGAATTGGTTGGAATTGGTTTATACTGCATAAAATGCCAGACTTACAATGTGTACCCTAAACAGTACATACCATCAGTAAAATTACTGAGAATTTTCAAAGTACCTATACTGCGTACCCTGCTAGAGCTTTTTCAGTACATAGGTACCCTGAGCTCAGTACTTTCTCTAGGTATATTTTCTCTGAAATAAGTTTACTTTTTCTTAATGTCTGAACTATATTTTTTGTAAATAAATATATTTTTTTTTGAATCGATTCAATTTTAGAAGAATAACAGCTTTCACTCTATCACAATGATAAGTTTTCTTGTATTGTCGTTTACCTTTTTAAAATATCGTTCGTGTCTGAAAAAAACTTTCTCGTGATCTAAAGAGTTCAATTGAAAATTTCGCAAATCTGACTCCAGATTCGAATTTCTCGATCTCGACTTGCTTTCTTCAACCTTATTAAGATTATCGTTACGTTCTCGAAAAAGCTTTTCCTTATACAAAAAGCACCTCAATTCAAAATTTTGAGAAACTTCCTTCAGTTTTGTCTCATTAGCCCCTGCCACAAAGACATACACAATCTATTTTATTTCATATGATCGTCTTTATAATAGATAGAAAAAATCTCTTTTTATTTCTTATTCATCTAATCTTGAAGAATGTTTCTTCTCAAATTTTACAGATTTGTTTTCTGTTTTTCTAAACCATTTCTGCTATTATTTTATGTCATTAGTACAGGTGAAATCCCAAATGTGTGATGAAATATTTCGATATGGTTGATGCTCATAAATCCTGTGCGTGTGTGTATTTTATAATACAGCAACTGCTAGTTGATATTGGTGTATATACATCGAAAGGTCTGAGCTGGTTATCGGCGTAGATTCAGATAATAATTATTACGAAATATATCATGAAATAAGCTATATTTATAATAATTATGTAAGTATCAGGATTTTTTCAGAAGAAAAATTAAATTATTGAAGAGACGAAGTAAATTAAGAGATATATTTTCATTTGAAGTTCAAAATGTCAATAAGTTTTCATATCTATTTGTATTAATATTCATTCGATATCAATATTGATACATTCTTAAAAAATTGATTTTCTTTCAACATTCAATGATTATTTTATTTAAAAGTCATTGAAAAAGTATCACTATAGATTATTAATAGTAAATTCTTCGTCTCTTTTAGAAATGGAAAGATAAACTTTGAATTTTTTTTATATGTTACTTTTGAATTCATTTAATTAAATATATAAAGCTAATGGATATGTTCCATCAATAGCATATGCAATATACTAATATAGAAAAATCATATATCATGACATAAAATAACATTTTTTTGCTTCAAAAAAAACCATTCGAAACATTAAGATAGAACATATTGTGGTATCTAATCATCGAATACTGATAAAAGAGATCGTACAGAAACTGACCTCTATAATTCGATTGAAAATAAAAATACCGGAAACTTTAAATGGAATTTCATTTTAGTAGCTCAAATAAATAAAACGTTAATAAAATTGATAAATATCAGAGAAAAAAAAATCGAATGATTTTCATTAAGAACGGATTTAAATATTATTATTAATATTAGATAATCATCAATCAATTCATAATTAATATTTATATTTATATGAAACTCAGCTATAAAACAAAATCGAGTGAAAATATTGAGAGCTGAAATACTCTTGAAAGGTAAGTAAAACTTTGAGGAACCATATTTTTTCCTCTGACTCAGAATTTAGAAAAAAAAGTAATAAGAACAATCTTTTGTTTTGGAATTTCTATATAGTTAGAATTGATCATTGATGACAAACAACAGACCAACGACTAGAAAATAAATATATACATTTGATTCTAAACTATAAAAAGAATAGCTTATATTATTAATAAATCTGAATGTTATATTCAGATGTTTTTGTTTGTTTATTTACATGAATGAATAAGAAATCTAAATCTATATTCATATGGAATTCGAAAACATTCAACATATGAAGATGTCAAATATTATTTATAATTTACCCATTCGAGAATTCAATATTATTTTGATGTTTACTATTAGTATATATTGATTGAGAAATTTTTCTTCAAATAAATAAATAATTCAGATTTTTCTTGTTTTTTTTTCTTCTAATAGTTAATACGATCATCAATCTAAAATAGATACTTTCATTATTGCTATATTTTAAAATAAAAATATTATTTATATATGTTTCATTTCTATTTACAATATTAATAAATAGTAACCATTCTAATATTTATCATTTATATTCTAATTATTTTTTACTTTGTCTCCATGAATATTTTTTTTTTCGATTAATAAATAACTCATAAATAAATAATATTTCAACATTCTATTGTAGTTTATACATAAAATTGGGTTTACACTCTTAAACCACTAGCTAATAACTTATGTCAAGAAAGTCTTCGTACAAAATGTTTTCTCATTTTTCAGTCACTTAAAAAGAACTTGTGGAAGTCGAAAGAAATTAGAAAGATGCAGCATACATTGCTCTTTCCAAATATGGGATCAGAATTTCTTTTTGAGCTTTTGTTAGAGAGTAATGAGGAAACCTTTAAAAACGTCTAAAAAATTAGTTTGAACAGAAATACTTTTCGTATATTCTCATAACCTAGCGGGAAAATGACAGTTGAAACTTTCATTAATATACTAGGTTGTAGAGCGAAGTTTTCTCTACAAAATCCATCATTTGATTTTTCTTTTTATCTTCCATGAAGGCGCTTAAGTTTCTATATTTTAGATCAATCTAATTTAGCGCTATCGATAATTTGCCTTTATGTAAGAGATGATTCGCAAAGAAAATATTTATAGATTTAATTTTAGGCCTGATTACCTATCAGATTTTTTAAAGTAAGATTTATTCTACGAAATCATCTTTTCCATCAATTTTTATCACCTTCGGTAATGAAAATAATAAAAACTTGTTTGTTTACTTTGCAAACTAATTTTCATGTCATCCAAAGTTTCGCTCTCTCCTTCGAAGCAAAAAGAGGCACACAATTTCTGACTTCGTATTCGGAAAGAGCATAAAATTCTGCTTATCACCCATCGATTTGCACTCGTCTGAAATG